AGATGGACATTACATGATGGTAAACACCCTCGTGCTGTGGATCCTCTGGCTGCTGACCTGCATCCTTAGTAAGCTGGTAACGGGAGTGCTTCCCTGCATCCCGTGAGCCACTCTAGCAGATCAATGGAACCCAGGGCAGGGGAGGGTCGGGGGACCTCCACCCTGCCGGCATTATTCAGAGGGAGGTGCAGGTGCAACCTGGGTATCTGGCACAGCGATGGGCAGTCTGGCAGGACTGAGCCCTCACCTATGGTGTCTGACAGTTCCCCTAGGCAGGCAGTGTCAGAACCAAGAAGAATCTTTGGCCACCCTGCTCGTGCTGTGGAAAGGCCCCACCTTGGCACTGGGACCTAGAGACTTGACCACCCAAGAAGATACACGTGTACAGCTGTTTCCGGGGTCAGACCCAGGGGAAGTGAACTGCCCACGGGTGAAACCAGCAGGCACCCACAGGTCACAGGGATGGCCTCCAGCAGCTCTGTGTAGAACGTCTTCCTCACCCTCCCACCTCCCCACTTCAGAGGTGCCAGGCTCCCAGCACCACTTGGACACTGACTCTGTCACATTGGAAGGGCCTTTGTGATCACCATCAGGTCCCCCCAGGTAACCCAGAACACTGATTTTAGGGCCAATAATTAATCCTGTCACTCTTGTCTGTGTCCCTGCCCCTTTGCATGGCCTATTCACAGGTCTGGAGGCTGGGGACAGGGACTGCGGGGTTTGCTCTTCCGTCTGTCACAGCACCAGACATGGGGGTACACAGAGAAGCTGGTGGGATGTGAAAGGTACAGCCATTCTGGACACCAGTGTGACAGTTTCTTACAAAGTCACACATGCTCTTAACATGTGACCCAACAATTGCACGCTCAGCCATTTTCCCTGAAGACACGAAAAGGTGCTCACAGTAGAAACCTGCACGTGAGTGTCTGCAGCAGCTCAACGCAGGAACTGACCCCCGTCTTTGGGTGTCCAGGGGACTCTTGTTAACAAACACTACCACTGTTGGTGCGGAAGCACACTGAGGGGAGAACCGGCCTCTGAGACACGTACTTCTGTTTACACCCACTCCCTCAACAGCATGGTGTGGTGCAGGGCTGTGGCAGCAGGTGAAGGCAGCAAGCCCACAAAGAGCCCATGACGGCAGGTACATGGGATCACACGTCATTAGACCACATGCTGCTCGCAGGCTTGGGGCCCCGGACCAGTGGGCTCAGAGCGGGCCATGGGCCATGCCGATGTTCACCTGATTTCATGCGCAGCAGCCACTGGCACAGCCTGGCGAGGGGCACACACAGCACTTCACAGCTTCCCTCGAGTCTGTAATTAGCTTAGTGAGAAGTCAGGTTATTCCCAGAAATGTGTCCGGGGTTGTCTGTCCCAGTGGGGAGGACAGCCCCTGGGCTAACTGTGGGTGCCCCACATCTCTCCCCACCCTTCCCCTGCTCTGTGCCTTCCAGGCTGGCCGGTGTGGACACTGGGGGTTCCTGCTCAGGGGGTCAGCAAGTGGGCACCCCACCCTCCTGCTCAGGGGTCCATGTGACTACAGTCCCCAAAGATGCCCCATCCCTCCCGCCCCAGGGGGCCTGCCACACTTCCATCAAGTCAATTCTTGAGTTCCTGGGGCCCTTCAGAACCCAGTGGAGCACAGTATGGCTTTTCTACTAGGATCTGACGGAATGTCAAATGTGGGATTCTCCCAGCTGAGCTCAGAGGCAGCTGGGACAGCAGCGGGCATGCCCACTGCCATGCAGTGAGGGTGGGGCAGGGCGGCCCAAGGTCTGGACCCCAGGCCTCCTGGCTTGAGACTGGGCCAGACTCAGTCCAGGCAGGAGTGATCCCATCAAGGCTGCTGGCACTACCCAGCCTGCCTGTGCCCCGGGGCCACAGCCCCACCCAGAGAAGTCTCTCTGACTGCTGTAACCAACACTGCAGTCTTGGTGGCTTAAAACATTACCAACTTATGACCCCTGGCCCCAGAAATCAGAGGTCAGAACCAAGAGGAAAATTCCTCTCTGCCCTTCCCACTTTTGGAGCTGCCCACCTCCACCTTCAACCTCTGCTCTGTGGCCACCTGCTCCTCTGACCCTGACCCACCTGCCCTTTCTTGGGGACCCTGGGACGTGGGGCCCACTGGGATCTCCCAGCACCATCCCTTATGCAGGGTCCTCACATCCCTTATGGGAGGGGACACCTGCTCAGGTGCAAGAGCCGAGGCATCAGCCTGCCATTCAGACCTGCACCCCTCCTCCTGCGGCCCTTCCATGTTGGGTGGCCACCCAACCATCAGCTCCTTCCCCTGGCACGTGTCCTGGAATGGGGAGGGGGCACTTCCTGCCCCACCTCTGGCCAGCCCCTCCCTCTGGCCCTGGGAGGCCCCTGCCCCACCTTCCACCAGGCACAGAGCCACCCTAGCCCTCCACCACCACAGACCTTCCCTCTGGCCGCTCACCCGTCCCTGGACTTGGACCCTGAGAGCTGTCCCCATTACTGGCTGCCTGGCCCTGCTAGAGGCCCCCTGGGTCCTCAGCTCCACGGCAGGCTGGCTGCCATGAGTGGGAGACGGGGAGGGGGAATCACAAGGGCACCCCCTCCTCACAGCCCAGAGAGAAGCAGGGCGCGGTGGGGCAGTAGAGGTTAAGGACCAAGGTAGTGGGCTCTGCCCGACAGCTATAGCCACAGTGGCCTGGACTCTGCCCAGCACTGCCAGGAGAGCCCAGGGACCGGGACCACCCTAAATCTCATCAGAGGAGCCATGAATCACTCTTTTTAGTGGGTGTGGTCTCCCTTTGGGAAAATGAAGCTCTGGAGCTGTGATGACTGATGGTGTGACATGCTTATTACCCCTGAGCTGTGCTGTGCATGGCCTCCACATCTAACCACAGGATTTAAAGGGTCTGGCCCCCTGCCACCAGGTTGCCTTCCTACCTAGAAGTGGGGGAAGAAGGGAGGGAGTAGAGGGGACCAGGCCCAGGCATAGCTTTCCAGGGGTAGGCACCCCTGAGGATGGGAGGGACATTTCTTGGGATCTCAGGTGGCTGTCCTGAAGGTCCAGCAGAGGGAGGGGTATGAAGGTCCACGAGACCCACTGACACGTGAATGGGCGTGAAAGTCCATTCAGGTGGGCAGGAGGTCTGGTTCTGAGAGGCTAGGGGTCGGCAAGCGGTGCTTCTCTGTATGTGGGCCCTTCCCACAAAAGACTGGTCATTATATAGCTGAAAAAACTGAGGTGGGAGCAGGCCAGCCTTCTGCACACACATACCCCCCATCTCTTGGGGCCTCCAGTTGGGTAAGGAGGCCTCTGCAGGTGTACCAACCTCTCCAGGTATGGAGACAGCAGGGGTGGCGGGTTAACAGCATCCCTGGAGGACCCACAGATGCCTTGTGGGAACTGCCATGCTAGAGGCCTGCCTGCACCTTCCCACAGGGCAACGGTGGGCCAGCCAGGGCAGAGGGAGGGGAGGGAGGAGGGGTTATCGGGGCTCTAAGGGGCCTAGCCATCTGGATGAAGAAGGACCCCCCATGGAGGCTGTCCAGGGACACCCCACGGGCCCCTCCCAGGTAGGGGTAGGGACTCTGGGGGCTCCCCATGGCCTTCTGGCTGCTCTCACTTGAGGGCAGACGTGCCAGCACCTGGGTGTCTGCCATGGTTCCCACGGTTGCCATAGGGGGTGGGGGCAGGACCCATGCCAGGTGGCCCTGTGGGTTGCACTGGAGCACGTTCTCCTGGGAGCCCTGGTGTGCCGGCCAGTGTCACCAGAGGTGAAAAGCAGCTCTGAGCTCCCAAGATGCAAGGCTGTGTATGTTAAGGACACATAGGACCCCCTGGGGCAGAACGCAGCCTCCCACCTCTGCACCTCTGCACCTCCTGTACCACCCCAACCCCTGCCACTGGGAGGTAGGCTCGGACTCCTGCCTTTCCAGCTGCAGCTCTGCAGCCTCCTGAGCCCAGGGTGCTCTGCCAAGGTCACAAGGTCCTGACCCATCCCTGGAAGGTCATGACTGGACAGCTCACAGCCATCTGCAGGGGGGGTGCCTTCCCCAAGACCCCAGCTGCATCCCATCCTCCCCAGAGTCAGCAGTGGGTAGGTGGCAGGCAGGCAGTTGCACACATGTCAGATTCCTTCTTGGACTGTCTGGGCCTTCAGGGCTTTGCTAGGCAGCCTCCGCCCGTCTACCCTTGAGTCCTGTGCGGGTGTCACAGGCCTGTTGTCCAGAGGGCACACCCAGCAGCAGCCAGGCTCAGACACATGACCTGACAGCAGGGAACGGGCCCCAGGTGTACACCACTGTGGGCAGCTGCTCTGCTCTGGAAGCTCACTGGCCCAGGGCTGGCTGGTGCTGCACCCACACCCTCACTCTCTATTCAGACATGAGCCACCCTGTCCTCGGCTGTGCCCTACAGCTGGCCCACCTGGGAGCAGATGAGGGGGATGTGAGTCTGCTGCGAGCAGGTCTGTACAGCAGCTGCTGCCCCCCAACACATTTGCACAGAACACCCTGTCCATACCCTCTGGGGCAAACAGTGGATATAGTGCCTCCTCGACCCAACTGGCCTCCCCGCGTTCCAGGGGCGTGCTTAAGGAAAGCATTCTTCACTTGCTTCAGAAGCACCCGCTGGGTGCTGCCCACTGCCTGGGACTGGGGCCTGGGCCTAGGGAGGGGGACCCGAGAGACTCCTGCTGTGCACACAGCGGGCAGACAGGCAAGCCCAGCTGAATGGGGCACCAAGGGCCCTGTGGCTCAAGTGTGTGGACTCCTGTGCTCACTCTGGTGTCAGGACTTGCTGGAGATGGACAGAGACCCTAGGGCTGTACCTTCTTCCCAATCGAGGCTTCTGCATCTGAAAACTGAGGTCTTACCCACGTGCAGGCTGCTTGGCAACTCAGTGCTTCTGTTTTGGCACCTGCCTGTCAGTAGTCCGAGGACCTCACAGCTGGAGTTTGGGTAGCAACCACACACAGACCCATCTCATCAGCAAATGTCACACACAGACCCTGGAGTGCTCGAATACAGATTTATTGCAAACCAATGCCAGAGACGGGTGACTTTACAGCTGGCACCCGGCTGTCCTTGGCCTCAGTGACTGGGTCAGAGACATTCTGCTGCTGCGTCTGGAGAGAGAAAACAGGCAGAGTGCGCCAGCTCCAGGGCCCAGGCCAACAGTGATGTCCACAGTCAGACCTGAGCTGGGGTGCAGCCACCCTGGTGGGTAGACAACTGACCCAGAGTGTACCCCACACCTTATCACTCAGGGAGAACCCCACAGGCGGCCAGGGGATGGGTCAGACACATCAGGATGGGTCTCACAGACGTGCACCACGAGACCCACTGACACGTGAATGGGTGTGCAAGTCCTGGGGGCCCTGAGGAGGGCTTGGCTGCTCCGTGAAGACTACAGACAGCAAGCTCTTTGCCCGCCATGGGCTCCCACCAGTTGCCAGCATCTGCACCTCCCTCAGTGGCATCATGGTAACCAAATCCTTCCTAGGGACCTAGGGGTACTTCTCACAGGACTGACAACTGCCATGTGAGCCAGAAACCTGCCCCACACAACTGTGATAAGCAGCCTCCACCTACTCAGGAGAAGGTGATGTCTCTGCAGGGACCACCCCCAGCCAGCAGAGCCCACAACCGCTGGTTCTCAGGTACAGACTGCAAGGTGACTACAGGCAGGTCAGCTGCTCGGTCCTGGCAACAGGCCTGGGCCAGAAGGACAGGGGTTTTGGTTCTGTAGAGCAGAGCTGCAAGCTCCATGCAGCCCGGCCTGGGCTCAGCCAGAGTGGGATGGGCTGCTGCATGCCTCTGGGGGGCTGTCCATAAGCCACAGCCTTGATCCCGTGGGGATCAGGTGGGAGCGGAGCAGCCGGTCAGAGGACAGACGGGCCCTGCTCCCTGCACCCAGGAGTGGCTGCCAGGCCCCCAGTCTCTGCTGCTCCACCTGAGCTCAGCTGGGGCCTCCCAAACTGCCCTGAGTGCCCACTACCCACCCCCAGCATAAGACAAGCAAGCAGACAGTGCAGCAGCTGAAGGTGGCAGGGGCCTGCCCGCTCTGCCCAGGGACAAGGGACTATCTGGGGGTACAGGGCCAGCAGGCTGGGTCCACCTTGGAAGGAAGGGTACAGAGATGAGTGAGTCCCTGGCAGGAGGGAGCCAAGGGACAGCAGGCCCCACCTCCCCGCTGGTGTGGCCTCCTTCTCACACATGCAGTCATTAAAACTGCACGGCCCCCGGGGAGATGTTGAACATGGCCGGGTCAAAGCGCTGGCCTCGGAAGGGAGAGCCTTCAGCGTCCCAGCCCTTCTTCAGCATCTCATGGACTTTCTACAAACAGAAAACAGACAGGTTAGCAGGGCCGCCAACCGGCATGCCCAGGCAGGTCCTGCTGTGCATCCTCCACTGGAGGTCCACCGGAGAGTCACTACAGATACTCCCATGCACCAACACTCTGCCTGTCACCAGCCGTATACTGGCCACCCTCATGGTTCAGCTGCTGTCCCTTCCCACAGGATATGTCCAAAACCCCAGGGGGCTAATGTGCTGCAGGGTAGGAAGGCCCCCAACGACCCTGGCTGGTGGGGTCAGAGCCATGGGGTCAGCCACCCCAGCAAGCAGCCTGTCTGGATCACCCAGCCTCCAAGAGCAGCAGGCAGCTTAGCCTGCAGGACATTGTGCCAATCTGTGGCCCTGCCAACATGCTGGCTGGGGACCATGAGGACCACCTCCCCTTCCTTCTGACCACAGGGCGGAGCTCCCCTGGGGCAAGGCCCTGCTGCCCTCTGGTCCCAGGGCTGACAAGACCGAGCGGATGGGAAGGCCCTGGAGTGTGATGGGGCTCTGGGACTCCTGACAGGGCCTCCTTTTCTGGCATTTCCCAAGGGGCAGCAGCAAGGAGTGTATCAAGGGCATGCTGAGCAACACTGCTCCTAGCCTGGGCCCCGGGAAAGGCTCAAGAGAACCTGCCCGGCGCCCACCTGCTGCCACCCCAGGGAGCTCCTTTCACCTGGGTCTTGCTCTCCCATGGCCCCATCCAAGCACCCGAATCCTGGTTAGCTCTGCGTGGGCCCCACCCTGAGCCCCCAGTGTGATGTGACACTCTGCACGGCCTCGCCGCCATGATTGCGCAGGACAGGCCCTGGCACCAGTGCTGCCTCCTCCCTCCGTGAGCCACCCTGGTCCTGCTGACCCTCCACCCGATGTGGCTGCACAGACTTCAGCACCCAACAGTTTACCATGCCTGCGCCCACACCCACATGACCAGGCCAAACCAGCCCTGCCAGCAGGGCCCCTCAGCTCCCAGGCCATTCAGATCCACATCTGTTTCCCGCACTGTGCTTACCCCACGGCCCATGTGCTGACGAAGGTCCATGTGGATTCCCCCAAGGGGCTAGCTGTTCACGCATGGCCTTTGCTGACCCCAAGCCCAGGTGAGTTCAGTGCTGGCACTGAGATGGGACCTCGAACACTCCAGCCTGAGTTACCATGGCCCTGAGACGCTGGGCCTTTACTGTTTCCAGGCAAGACAAGGGGAAACTCATAGCCCTCCAGGTCAGCTGGTGGGGGCAACCCTGGGTCTCACGTGTCCACTGCAGGTCTCCTCAGGGTGCCACTCGGCTAAGCCCTTGCTTCCCCTGTGGCCAGCACATGGCAGGTCTTTCTGGAACCCGTTGGGCCCGAACCATAGAGTCCTCCCATGAGACCACAGGGCCCTCAGGATCCTTCTCTGAAACCTTCCCCACCCTGGCCTTGGGCCTCAGCCAGGGCCTTCTGCCACTCGGCCTTGCGCTCACTGCCTGCCCACTCCAGTGGGGACGTTGCACCCTTGTGGCCATCTACACCTCCCTCCCACAAGGCCAGGACCCAGAGGCCACAAGAAGCATGGCATGGCAATTAGCGTGGCAATTACAGTGCTCCCAGACCTGCGGTGGGACAACCTCACTCCTACGGCTGTGCCCAGCGGCTCAGCCACTAAGCCAGACACACAATGGTCAGCCTTACTCCTAGCCTCAAACCCTGTGAGCCCAAAGGGGCTGGGGGCCAGACCAAGACTCAGACTCGGGGCAGGAGTGACTGAGAGGCCTGGAACCAGCTCAGGCTTCAAGCCCCAGCCCTGGGCCTGAGCAGCTGTGGGGCCCTAGAACATTCTGTGACTTAAAATTCAACCCTCCTCCGAGGGGCACCAGCCAAGTCCACGACCCAGCCGACAGAACCTGCCCTGTGGGAGGGGCCCACTAGCTGCCTTTCCACGGCTACTAGAGGCTCGCAGGACCAACCATCAATGTGCAAGAGCACTCCATGGCCAGGGTCCCAAGACATTCACAGAAATCGCAAAGGGAGGAGAAGAGAGCCGAAGGGAGACCCCAGAGAGAATGTGGACAGCAAGGGATTCTGACTTTGACCCACAAAGAAGCGAGCCACTGGACCACTGTGGTGCCAAGCCAGGCCTGGACTCGCTGCTCCTGTTGCCACTGCTGTGAACTCCCTGTGCGGTTCACATGGGACACAGGAAGCTAAGAATGACCCAAGAAAAGCAACCTTTCTTCCCTGAATAGCCTCTCTTGGGATTACCGAACCAGACAGAGGTCCACAGACACCAGCGTCCTCCTCTTGCCACCAGCAGGGTCACACTGGCTTCCTCCTATCCCCACAGCCACCAGCCACATGCACTTCGGGCTCTGGCATTCCAGTGACTCTGAAGGACTTTCTTCCATGGCCCTGTGGCCAGACTCCAGGGCCCCCAGAAGGGCGCACCCGGCTCTCCCCATTAAGGGCTGCCTGGACAGGTGGCCCAGCTGCCAGCTGCACCGCCTTCCCCCAGCCCCCAGCCCCCACCCACTGCTGAGGCCATACCAGCTCATGGCTCTGAGGCTTGCCCTGTAGCTTCTGGCGGTAGTCGAAGGTGAGCCTGTCCAGCACGGCATGCTCCTCTTCCCCCACTGTGGCCATGGAGCGCTCCTTGTTGATCTGGTTGATGTCAATATGCTCTTCACCCTCCAGGATGGCACTCCACCAGTACTCGCCCACCTTGCTCAGGCTCACCTGGACACACAGGACAGGGGGGCAGTGCCCCAGCTCACTTGGACCACTGGCTCACCCCCACCTGTGACCCTTCTGACTTGCAAGTGCAGTGCCTGGTCCTATCTCCTAGGGCTCCTGGGACCCAGGGACCAAGTCTTGCACTGCTGGTGACTCCTCCCAGTCAGGGAAAGCACCACCCACCCAGCCTCATGTTGCAGCCCCAGTGGGGGTCCAGGGGCACACGAGCTCAGAGATGGGACCCACAATGTGGAAAAAGAAACACAATACCAGGGCCGAGCCTGAAGTCAGAGCCAAGCGCACAGGGCCAGGACCACGTGGGGAGGGCCCAGTGCACCCTCCCCATGGCTAGTGACTAAGCTCATCAGGAAACCTCTCCAAGAATTGACAGGCTGTGTGCCCACCCTCCCTACTGCTGCCTGCTCTCTGCTGGGATGAGACCCCCCCAGTCAAACCTAGATGGGAGGGAGGCATGTATAGGTGAAGAGCCAACAGCCAGAGCAGTTCCCACTGAAGGGAGCACCACGGGGAGGGCTGCTGGCCAGTAGCAACTGTGACAAGGGAAACAGAACTAGCCCGCGCACAGGTGGAGCCCCTGAGGACACCACGTGCCTCCAGCAGATGTCACTCACAGGTCCTGAGATCAGCCCCAGTGCTCACAGGCTGCCCGAGCACTGGGAAGGGCCTGCCTAGTCAATCCCCAGAGTGAGCAGGGGCATGCAGGGACCAGCAGCAGGTCCCACAAGAACCTCCAGATAAGTGCAGGTATGGCATAACATCATCAGCATGAGTGCACTGCAGAAACATGCCCCCGCTGGCGCACAGGCCGAGGACAGGCGCCAAGAGCCCCTGGCTGTCCTGGTGGGTCCTGAGCATGCCCTACCCACCTGCCCACCCTATAGGATGGCCGACTCTCTACTCTGCCAGCACTGCGCTTTACATCTGGGGTAAATTTCCAGTTCCCAGATGCCCCATCCGGTCAGCTCTTGCCAACTTGACTCCAGTTCACATGCGGTGAACTGACCTGGACCTCAGAGACCCCAATATCCAGGACTTGCCAGGCTGCCGAGCTCCAGATCTTTACCAGGGTGCAAAGACAACATCCCACATGGAGAAGAGTTTTCCCTGCCGAGGAAGCCCTGCGTGCTCACTTTACCAGGTCTTCCGTGGCCGGCACCTTTTGGGATCTCTGGGACACACACTGACCATAAGACACTGACTGTGCCACCTCCAAGTCCAAGCTTTCCCCCTCCCCCAGCGCCATGCAGAGGGCAGCAGCCATGAATGGCCACCCAGCGCTCCTGGACTGGTCCCTTCTGCACAAACCACACACAGGGTTTCCTGGGTGGGTGCACATGGCACCAGGCCTGACAGCTGGGGGACACGGCAGGGCTGAGCCTATGGGCCTGCTTTATGTGCCCCTTGGGTCTGTGGAGTGAGTCCACAGGCACTGTGCAAAACCAACAAAGTCAAGATGAGCCCGGCACCTTTTCAAAAAAACAATTTGGGGTGGGGGGCGGGGGGATGGTGTTGAAAGTCATGTAATACACAATAACCGTTTTAAAGTGAATGGTTCAGTACAGTTAGCACGTTCACCTTGTGTGGTTGCAGAACACTTTCAGTCTTCAAAAGGAGGCCTGGTGCTGGGAGCCACCACTTTGCACACCCTCTCAGCCCCAGCTCTGGCAACCAGAAAGCACCTGTTCTGGGCATTTCATATGGCAGGCCCCATGACGCGGGCCCAGCATCCGGCACCCTGAGTGATGGCCTCATGCCCCTCCATGCCACAGTAGGCCAAGGGGACCCAGGAAGTGCTGTGGGAATGGAACTCAGGTGTCCAGGTCTAAAGGAGACACCAGGTCAAGCAGTCTGGTGGTGTAACACTTGATCTCAGTCTTTAACATTCTGTTTCATCCTGTCAGGTCTGTGGAAGCTTGGCTCTGCTGGCAGTAAAGCCCATCCCTTTGAGGGTGTCCTGGTTCTGACAGACACGCAGCCTGACACTCAGCCCCACTGTGGATGGCTGCTGCCTGTAGCTCACGGAATCACATGGCCACAGCCCCATGTGCTGCTCTTCTGAGTGTGGCAGTTCTGACTCTGGCCACCTGTGTGCCTGGAGTTACTCCCTGACATGGTGGACTGTGGCATGCCTAGCTGGGCACCTGAGGAGGGAGGTGGGGTGTTTCCAGGTTGACAGCAGTAGTTGCGAGCCTGTGCCAGGCCTCTGTGCAGCTGCACCCTCCGTTCCCTTCGGTGGGTGCCTGCCTGGTAAGGCATGCTTAGCTTTAAGAATGCTGTTTTCACACCCACGTGCAGATGAAGGGCTCCAGGAGCTCCTCCCACATCGCTGCTAGCACCTGGCACTGCTGACTCCCAGCAGCCACCCCTACGGGCGGGTGGCTGTCACTCACCTGCCATCCACTTTCGGACATTTCATCTGGAATCTCAGATGTCCACCTGTACACCTCTCCCCTACATTAGCCCACTGTTAACAGGCCACCCCTCGGCTTTATCCCCTGCTTGCTGTGTGTCAGGGTCCATGGGAGCCACACTAAGTTACAGGTTACTTTTCTGAACCCTAACATTAGAGTGAGTGGCCCTCCTGAAGACTCTGACAGGAAGCCCTCAGCTCGCCCTCTCTCCCACTCGGGGTCCCAGTCCGGGGTCCTGACTGCATCTCACTGGTCTCATCCCCTTCTATCTGAACACTCCACCGCTTGTCTTCAGGGGTTTTGTTTTTAAAGACTGCTCCTCATTTGGGATTTGTCTGGTCCTCCTCATTGAACCCAGGGACATGACCTCCCAGGGAGAACACCCAGGGCACCCTCCCTGACCCCATCTTCCTCAGGACAGCGGAAATACTGCTTCCAGCCCCTGTAGTGTCCCAATGGTCTTGCTCCTGTCCTTAGTTTTGTTGGTGTCACTGTCTCAGCTGAGCCGGTCAGGGCAGCTGCCATGACCCAGGAACATGTCCCCATCTCCGTGGCCTTCTTCCAGGCTCCTTTACCAACCAAGTCCCAGACCCAGCATCAGCTTCCCAGGGAAACCCAGGCTGCTGGTGAAACAGCTCCCCTAAATGTCCTCCTAGGAACTCATTTAGCTTGCCTCAGCACCTGGTCCATGTGGTGATGCCCCTGTGGCAGCACCCCACAGAGAGGCCACGTGCCTGGGAGGTCAGTGGCTCCCCACAGCTGCCCACAGGGTGCATCTGGGCTGAGGAGACATAGGCAAGCAGAGTGGGAGGCGTATGGGGGCAAGGACAGATGACAGGACTGCTCTCCTCAGACTCCTCTGCAGGGGCCGCAGACCAAGTCAGACCACTGACCTGAGGACTCTCTGAGGCAGCCCTGTTAAGGGAGAGCTCCTTGGGTTTTTGTTGCTAACTCATGTTTTAAGCTTGAGAATTAAAGCGCTGACTGTGTGGGCCAGACGGAACAGCATGGTGCATGAGGGCAACAGAGGCCCCACAAGCCAAGTGTGACATAGCTGAACAGCGGTCCTGGGTGGGATGGAGGGATGGCACACGGGCCGGGCTGCTGGGCACACAGGATGCTGGTTCTGCCCGGTATGTGCCTTCTCTTTCCTGGGCGCCTTCTCCAGAACGCTGCTGGAGCGTGCTGCCTCAGGCCACTAGTCCTCCACACCCCAAGCCTCAGCTCCTCCCCACTGGGACCAGGGGCTGGGGGGGACACCCAGGATCTAACCACTCCGAGGAATGCCGAGGGTCCTGGCCGATGTGAGCACTGGAGACAAAGGGTCACATTTCATTCCATGGACCAATTTTGTGGCTTTTGCCAAAATGCTAATGCTGTTTAAGCCACATTCATGAAGATGATGGTACGAATCCATAATGGTGGCCACTGAGGCCAGTGGCCACACAAGGGCACAGAGGCAGTGAGAGCTTCACAGGAAACATATGTCCTCCCCAGAAACCTACAGGGAGCCCAAGGGCCAGGGGCCAGGGGCTATCATGGGAGCGCAGTGGCCACCTAGGGCCTGTACAGCAGCCAAGGACCGCAGCCATCCTGGAACTCCACTTTCAGACCTGCACTTAAGGAAACAATCAGTAAGTAAGTAAGAAAACCAGGAGTAGGGATGCAGGCTTGTACAAAACACTCCAGTTGGAGAGGCAGACACTTGAGTGAGCATAAAGGCCTGGCAGGCAGGTCTACAGGCATGGCAGCTGCTGGGCCAACCTCTCTGCCCAAGTTCCCGTACACACCAGCATGGCCTCACCTACAGCCATCTGAGCAGCAGCCTCAAGGCCACTGCCTGCAGATCCCCATGGCCTTGAGGGCTGCCAGCCCCAAGGACAGCAGCAGATGCAGTTCTGGGACAGACTCTGGGGAGGCACTGGCTTCATGTCTCTGTGACCAAGAAAGGAGCCTGCCTGAGAGTTGAGAAGCCTCAGTTAACTCTGGAGCGTGGGAGGGAGGGAGGCAGGAACTGTCACCCGCTTTTAGCTGCCACCTCTGCCTGCTCAGAAAGCCTGCCGGGCGTGTCTGATGTTGACCCAGGCTCAGCGAGGAGGGCGCGTGGGAGTGAGGCATGCTTATTGGGTGTTAGAGGCTCAGACCGGGGACTCCGGTGGGGTGACAGGTACCCGAGATGCTCTTGTCCCAAGGGACCTCATAGCCATCCTGTCACATAAGGCCTGTGCAGCCTAAGCAAGCAGAGAACACCAGGCACCAAACGAGGCACCCTACTCTCAGCCTAGAGGCCAGAGCCCACACACTGGTGCTGCGGGGCTGGGCTTCCTCCAGAGGCTCTGGGGACAGGCTACGGCTAACTGCCTCCCACAGCCCACATCTGTGTCAACTCTGCCTTATAGCCCCCTTCCCTCATGAGGCATTGCCACTGGAGATAGGCCCAACAACCCAGAATGGCCTCTCCATCTCAAGATCCTCGCCTGTCGCAGCTGCAAAGGACCTTTCTCCAAACAAGGTCCCGTTTACAGGTTCTGGGGTTTGGAAGAGACATCTGGGGCCCTCTCCAGCCCACCTCAGCCTTGGGAGGCAGGCTTTTGGTGACTTCCCTGTGGTGGCAATGACGGTGCCCCTCACAGAGCCTGGCCCAACCAATGTCCAGGGCTCAACCAGCTGAGGCCACCCCAGGCTGAAGACAGGGTGGTGGTCCTGGGGGCTGACCAGGCAGCAGGCAGCAGCCAGTGCACGGCACTGGGCACAGAGCAGGCCCGGGAGCCGCACTCACCAAGGGAGGCAGCACTTGCTCGTTGCAGCCAATGCAAACGGGGTCCTTGTGCACCAAAATGATGTGCTCATGAAGCTACGGCATCATCTCAGATCCATGGCTCCAAAGGCCACCCACAACTGCACAGAGAGCACACCATGCCTAGGTTTTGGGAACAGCAGTGTCTGCAGAACACTGGCACAGCCTCCCAGATGGGGGCTGTGTGGAGCAGCCAGGGGCACACAGGCTGTGCTCGATGCAGGGGACACGATGCTCTGGAAGCCCTTCCACGTCTCTGCAACATGACGCCCTCTACTGAGGGGCAGAGCTGCTCCAGGTGACCACGGGAGGACCCTGCACAGCCCCTGCACAGGCTCTGCATGGCTCGGCCGGCTTGTGGGGACGCTAACCCAGAAGCCATGCTCAGGGGCAGTGAAGGTGCCCTAATGCCCACTGTGGGCTCTGCTGTTCAATTAACTTCTGGAGCAGCAGGTGCTGGGTAGAAGCAAGCTAGAAATCTAAAAGGCAGGCAGGGCATGGCGAGGCTGGGTCCCAAGGGGCCTATGATATCCATAGGGCCCAGGCACATGACTGGACAGCCAGCCAGACACCCAGGCATGGACCCTCAGCAAGGTCAGCAGGCTTCCTCCCACATGCTACCAGCCCTCCTATGTCTACCCTGTCCAGGGCGCCTTTCAGCAGGAGAAAGGAAAGGGACAGTGGCCTGAGGGATGCTCCCAGCCCTGGACCTTCGAGCCTGCAGGCCCCAGCATCACCAGGCTCTGCACAGAGGGAGGCCCAGGGGTCTGCAAACAGCACCCTAACTGCAAGGGGTTCATACTCTGGCCATGGCCAGACACAAGCGCACAAAGCCATGAAAGGTAGTATGGCACCTCTGTCAATGAAAATTTTTAGACAAGCTGCCTGGTGGCAGCCACATTGCAGCAGGAGCCACGTAAAGTGAGAGGAGCCCGACTAAGCGGCTACGCAGTGTCAGAGACCAGCTGGCCCCCAGCAGGGACACGGGCTACCGGACGGAAGACATACTACTGTCAAGGCTTCCCAGGAGCCCCTCACAGGGGTGCAGTGACCCAGGACTGGGACTTCGTTCCCTTGGCCAGCATCTGTGTGGCAAGCAAGCTGTCACAACTACAACCTGGAGGCTCTCGCCAGCTGTGCCATGACCCTGGTAGGCCGCGGTGTAGTATGACCCTGGCTTTCCACCTCACACACCCTCTGAAGAGTAAACAAGGCCAAGAGACCATGAAGGCATTTTGCAAATGATAGGAACTGGGGACAAGATGGTGTGGCTATAGCCTAATGGTTCAGGTGTACTGGGGGGCAGGGAGCATGAAGGTCACGGAAAGGGGCTGAGCCCTGCCGTGCTCTGCCGCCTAGTGTCCTTGCCACACAGAGGCGTGCTGGGATCCCCTCTGTCTCACCAGCTCGGGTGTCCCACCAGGCAGGACAGCCTGGGCACCCACCCCCACAGGAGGCATGTCTGTATATGAAATCGAAACTCAAGCCCCCTCCTCTTGTCTCACCTCTTGCACACGAACAGTGTGTCTGCCTAAACCCCAAGGCTTTTGTCCATAGACTGTGCCTCTTCCTCTTCACCTCTGCCCTTTCTCCAGACCCTGGCCATGTGCCCTGCAGGGAAAGTGAGTGAACCCCATGTGTGAGCCCCCTTTGTCGCAGGCAGCCTTCCAGATGACAGAGGACGGAACCACCGAAGATACTACAAAGACATACATGAGCTCTCTTTTGCTTGGATTCTGGCTGGTCCCAACCAGCTGAGGTCCATGTTGTCAGGGAACCCAGCCTGTCTGAAGCTGTTGCCTACTGCAACCTCTAGACTGGCTCCGTAAAATTCAACCTGCCTTTAATCTTTAACTGATCTGGTTTGGCTGCAGACAGCACCCACCAGCGGGGAATGGAGGCCCCTGGCACTGAGGGGCCATGGCCTGCTGAGCACAGCTGTGCTCAGGGGTGACACCACTGCCAGGACTCCTCTGTGATCACACATGTGGCCTGTATGAGAAGTCCTTCATCCAAGCACGCCAAGTTTCTTGCTGATACAGCCCCCATCTCAGAGAGCTTGGTGGGGGGCCCCAGCCACTGAGGCTGTTGTACGCAGAAAATGGGGACCTACACACACCACCTGCAAAGCAGCATGGTGGGCTGACTCCCCGCCAGGCACTCACGCAGAGGCCATGCTTACCAAGATGCACTTCCCAGGCTCAAGGCTCCAGAGGGAACTCTCGGTGTTGATCTTGTGGGTGAGTTTCCCCTCCACGAGGACGTGCTCCCCTCCTGCTTCCAGCACGGCCACACGGATGAAGCTGCTACTGAGGGCCACAGAGACCTGGGGCAGAGCACAGGATAGTCACTGCAACATGGGAGAGGACACATGCAAGAATACGTCCGGGGGTCGCCAGGCACTACATTTACAGCAGAGGCAGCCTATGCACGGGTACTCCTCCAGGAACATGCTAGCAGATGTGTCTCGGCACATGACATGACATGGTACCATGTGGAAACTGCTGCTCCCTTCTCCCATTAGGGAAGACCAAACCCCACAGTGAAAGCAAGCAGGGCAGTGAGCAGGGCCAGGGCCTCTGGGTCTGAACTTCACCTCTGTTCTCCGAGAAGCCCAGCCCCTGCAGCCTGGGCTCGCTGCCCTGTCCTCTGACACTTGTCCTGGGCAGTGTCTGTCCTCCCCCAGCACTGGGGACATCTTCCCGCTCGCACACGATTGCACCAGGGCTGCGGTAGCAGGGCCGCACTGCAGGTGCCCAGCAGATCAGCACTGGGGGGAGGAGCGAACACAGAGCTCCTGTTTCTGTTTTGTTTCACTTTCCTTTAAATTATAAAATCAAAATAAAAACTATCAAAATCATAACAAAACTTTTACATGGTGGTATCTGCATGGCATTAAGCACTGGGTGAACAGACACTGGGTGGGAGCACTGGGCCCTTCTGGTGTGGGCAGGGTCCACATGTCTGGGGATGGCCCTCCCATGTCCCTGAGTAAGGGCTCATTAAATGCTTATGAAGTCCTTGGAAAGACACCCTCGGAGTCACTGAATTTTCAAACTAGAGTCCATACCCGCCAGCGGAACCTGCTACTGTAACCTACTTGGTGCCTCAAACTCCCATAAACAGAGGACAGGAGGGAGGGGTGATGTCCCAGAGTCAGCACCACCAAGAGGCTTTGGGGTGAAGGGAGAACTCATGCCCACAGGTGGGGAAGGGGTCCTGGGCGACCATCCTGCCCCTGCACCTCAGCGAGGTGTACTGCTCACCTGGCTGGCTTTGCAAAGCCATTGCACACAAAGATGTACAGCAGCAGCCACATAGTGGCCCTGTGCCCCACAAGGGTCCCTACTACTGCTGGCCTCACCTGGGCTCCCTGGTAGGGCACTGGGCTGGGGCTCCTCCCAGCACCAAGCACACTATAAACAACTCCGCCCAGCCAGCTGCAAGGAACACATGCTCCTCCGTGATGAGCCACAGCACCGTGGAGGAGCCAGACAGGAGATGCGTTAGGACGTGACCCACAGAGGCACAGGACAAAGCACGAAGAGAAACCCTGAGCTATGCCCAGGAGGTGCGGGGCCAGGACAGACAAGCTCTCAACAGCCCTGTAGGGATGAAGGATGGGCAGATCACAGCAGGAACAAGTTAGCAGGTGCTCAGGCAGAGCAGCTGGGTCAGTCCATGGCACACTGGAAGCCCTGCCAGATTGGGCAGGAGACCAACCATGTGGCCCAGAGCCGCAGTGGCACTCCAAGGAAAGTGGCCTGCATTCTGGGGACGTGTGCACACCGGTCCCATGTGCACAGAACCAAGCTGACCAGTGGCCCAGCTCACCGCGGTGTGAAAGCAGCAGACCTCGGGTCCATGACATAGAACATCAACACCACATGTACTCAAAGTAATGGGGAAACTTTTTAAATAAAAAAACTAACAGAGAACTAATAAGCATAGCATCCTATAAGGAAAACCAGCAGCATAAAAAGAAAGATTTAGGTTAAAAAGAAACACAAAGATTAACAGAGCTAATTAGGAAAAAAGGAAATTTTCCAATATTCCAAATTTATGTCCTCAGAGAAATCTGAGAAGATACTCTGTCTATAGAGTCAGAATAAAATATGAAAATAGAATAATTACACATAAAAAAACACTTAAAATTTTAAAAACTGGCTAAAATTAAATTTTCAATAGAAAGGATGGAAGACAAAGTCAAAGAAGTCAGGGTGAGACTAAGTTCAATCTGGGCAATCAGTCTGGTGTTCAGGAACTACCGCAGCAACAAGACAGTCTCCCCAAGTTTAAGGAAAACACGCCTTCAGACTGGAAAGGACCCACTGAGGGCTGAGCAGAAACAAAGATGACTCCAACAGAATCACGACATTTCACAATACTAAGTCTGTAGCTAAGGTCCTGAAAGTGCTAAAGGGGGAGAAAAAACCTTCATTCACGAAGAACATAAAGGGAAGGGTTACTCTAGGGTCAGTAGCCTGGTGAGACACCGGCCAGTGCCTTCCACCTTCTGAGAGAACTTGCTGAAGTTAGAATTCTGTACACACCCAGATCATGGAGGAAGTGAAAGGTTAAATACCTACATTTTAAGACATTCAAGAGGCCTGTATTTACTACATATCATTTTGAGAGAGCAACACAACAAAATGAGGATGAAAACCAAAATAGACTGAGACCAGGGTGAAGGAGGTCAAGAGATACAACCTTCAGATGTGAGAACAGTCAGTCTGGAGGATGCAACACACAGCATGTGACCAAATAACAATGCTTTATGCACATCTGAATGTTGCTAAGTAGAAATTAAAAGTTCTCATTGCAAAAACCAAATTGGAGCCTTGTGAAGGGACAGATATTAAGGAGACTTACTGGGGTGGGCATTTCCCAGTATGTACAAAGGTCTATGGTTATGCAGTATGCCTGAAACTAATAGTGTTTCGTGTCAATCACATCTCAAGAAAATCAGAAGAAAAAAGAGAGGAAGACCCAACTGCCAGTCAAAACAAATCAATAAAGAGCAAAAATTTAACAGAAACTGGGCAGAGAGAACCAGTTCAAAGGAAAGACACATGTAACAAGACACTCAAACTTACTCTGAAGAGAAATATAAATTTGTATTATAACCAGATGCTACTTGTCACCTATCCAAATACAAAACTCAAGAATTTGGTGTCAAAAAATTTGTGAAAACAGAGGACTCTTGTAGGTCATTGATGGGAATGTAAGTTAGTTCAAATCCCTTCAGAGGGCAATTTAGCAAACCTACAGAAAGTAGAAATACCTTTTCATACCACATGTATTTCAATCTAGCTACTGCACTTCATGCAACCTATTCTACGGGATACGTATATGCAAAATGAAATTTGCTAAAGGGCATTGGTAGGAAAAGATGGAAACAACCTAAATGCCAATTACTGGGGGACTAGCTCAGTGATCAGCTTGAAGAGGGCAAGAGCACAGCCTGGGGCACTGGGTGTAAGGAGTGGTGGGATTGGAGGGCTCAGGGCACTGGCACTCTCAGGGTTCTGAAGCCCAAGCCAGAAGACATGGGAAATCCTAGGCCTACTGAGACTTCACTGGGGACCTACAGCTTGGCAGGCACCGCTGAGGCACTGGAGACATGGCAGCAAACACAGGAGGCCAGAGTAGCCCTGGCTGGGCTGACAGTGGGAACGGGAACATATCGTCTGTACTACAGGTGGGGGTGTGGTCATACATATTCATGCCTGACTCTATACGTAAAGGAAGTATTTGCCCAAATATCCCCAAACTAGTAAGATGAGGTTTGAGTCAGGGCTGATACAGGACAGAAGGACAGAGGCAGGAAAGACACTTTTCACAGTGCATTTTTAAATTTTTGTACAGGTACATGTCCTATGCATTCAAAAAACTTGAAGTAGATAAATGCAGCCTATTAGCCTTTTCTATTTGCAGAAGTTCCATATGATAAAGACTCTTGCTACATTTTTCCTAAATGTGTACTAAAGAGACGACACCATGTCACAGAGCTTTCGGCACAGATTCCAGCAGATCCATTAAGCTCCAGGACAAGGCATCACCATGCAAGACATGCCCAGAACATCAGTGCATTCTGGAAAGCTCCCACGATGGGGACAGAGACAGAGTGCAGCATCACTATCAATCAGACACCCGGCAGGGCCAGGTACTGTTCTCAGCTCCATCACATCTCACTAGACAATCTAGGGCCTCAGCGGTTTAAATCTCCAGGAGCTTTCTCCTCTGCAAAATGAGAGATTAGACTTATGGTCTCCAGAGTTCAATTATCCAGCATTAAAATCCTGTGATTCAATGAAATGTCAGGCTGACGACAGCCCTGCTGACACTGGCAATCGCACGCACACCCCTATTATGACGGGGAGTCCCTTCTCCCGGCTGCATGCCACCCTGAGAAGAGCAGAGTGGGCGAGGCAAAGAACTGACCCACTTCACTGGCACGTGAGCCCACAGCTTCATTTTGAAAACTTTTTCTTTATGCTCACCAGCAAAATGATTCTTTTAAACAAGGTTGCAGTGCAACAAGAATGCTTAGACATCAGGCATTGCACACATCCCTGTTTGTCCCCTGCTGCACCTGAGAGGCCAATTTTCCTCTGCAGAGAAGATGTGAGCAAGGCACGCCAGGGCTCTCCTAACACCAGCATCAGCCATGGCTGCAGGAGAGAGGCCTGGACCACCATTCCCACTCCATGCCTCACACACACTTGCAGGGCTACCTACAGACCCAGGGCCACCCACAGTGCCTTCATCAGCTGAACCACTGCCTCCATGGTTGCAGTCCTGGTGAGTCTCATGGGTGCCACAGACAAAAACCCAAAATAAGCCCTGCTGACAGGTTCCTCAGGGCACAGCTGGAAAGTGGTGCCTCTGAGCAAAAACCCTTAGACCAGCAAAGGCCAAGAGATGCAAAGTAAATGTTTTCCCAATTTTTAAGTGAGGCATGGCTAAAACGCTTAGATCAATAAGACATGGAAAGACCACAAAGTTTTCCAAGAAGGCTGCAGAATGACATGGAACTGGAAAGTTCTGAGAAAGCAGACCTCTAAAGTTCTCATCACAAGGAAAAAAATTTGTGACTCTGAGGTGCCAGATGGTAGCCAGACTCACTGGGGGGTGATTTCACAATATGCACAAGTAAGAATCATGATGTTATACTCCTGAGACTAGTATAATGTGTTAAGTATACCCCCCAAAAAAGAATGGCATGGAAAAAAAACACTTTTGAAGGAGGAAAAGAAACATCCAACTGTGCAGCTGAAACAAGACTACTGTAACCCAGGTCAGTGGGTGTCCCCACATGCCAGCACTAGGACACCAGCTTCCGACCCATGGTCACAAAGACAGGCTGCTCCACACACCTCCGGGTGGGAGTACTGGCTGCAGGGCAAACCAGGCTGAACAGTCTGGAGAAGTTGTGTCCACCCTTTCATCCATGGGCACCCAAACCACCTGTGAGGGTGGCCGGAGCAGCAACCGGCCCCGGAAACAGGCTCCGCGGTGCTAGTGAAGCAGACACCTGTCTGGCCCCACATGACACCAGCCGCCACTCCCGGGAGGTGCGGAGCTGGTGTGCCACTGGCTGCCCCTGCCTGAGCCCTGGGGTGTCAGCTCGAGTGGCCATCCTGCCCGAGTCCTGGGGACTGTATGTGCTGCGGGGAATGTCTAATGCATGGAAGGGCCAAGCCCAGGGCTGGCCTTACCATCTCAGAAGTCACGCAAATGCACTAGAGAGAGGTGTGGCCTGACCTGAGACACATGGGGCTGCCCCTCCATGGGGTGGGAGGGAAGCAGGGCCCCCAGAGCACAGCGCCTATGGCAGAGCAGACCGTGAGCTACCAGCACACACATCCATGTCAAGTCTTCCCACAGGCTTGAGAATTACAGCAAGAGATGTCAGGTAACCTGCATCTCTTGTGTCAAAGAAATAGAAAATAATTAGTTTTAGATTGGGTACAAGTCCTTGCAGAGGAAGCTCCAGAAATTCATGGAGACCCTGTGCCAGGGAGCTGTGATTTTTTAGCCAAGTACTGCAGTGTGATGGCCACTTCTAATAATTTATCCACCTGCATACAAGACAATCTTACCGAACAAGGAAATGAAAATCAGCACTTGACCTGCCAAACCCCCCCTAGCAGCAGCCAGCAGAGCACTCCAATGGGAAGGCCAGCCTGCCCCGCATGGCCCAATGGCAGCTGAGGCACATGGCTGTCTCAAGTGGGACCCCATGGGGGTGACCCTGGGTTGCTCAGTCCGCCCTGTGGTCCGCCTGGCCAGGGGTCCCTGAGCCCTGCTGAGATCTCCTGGGACGGGGCAGGAAGAGGGAGGAAGGAGAAATGAGGGGACAGCTCTGCTCTGGCCAATGCTGGCCCCCATCTAAAGAAAGCCTCAGGCCCCATCGTCTGTGCTACACATAGAATGAGTCCTATTCAGCTCACCTGGTAGGAAGTCACAGTCTTCCAGAGGCTGCCCAGCCCTACCCAGACTCCTGCACACAGGGCAGGCCAGGGAGCTGGGAAAGAAACAGAGGCCGGGGCCTCAGGATGAGGGACAGGACACCCGGAGCAGCTCAGCACCCAGTGTGGCTCCGCATGCCTACCCAGGCAGAGGGCCCAGCACCACCTCACACGGCAGTCACTTCTGGGAGTGCATAAGCCCCTCAGCCTCCATTTTCCATGCTCCGGGACCTTTTCTCTGCAAGGAGCCAGCAGCAGTCCTCTTTGCAGAGCAAGCACAGGGACAGGAGCGCTAGATGCAGACACGCCACACGGGCTCCCATGTCACACACTCAGCTTCTGGGTTGTTCATGCACATCAGACAGCACTCCACTGTCCCGGCACTAGTTTTCCACATAAACCAGGACAACTGGGCAGCTCCTCTCGGCCTCAGTCTCTCATCTATAAAACATGAAAGGTATTCCTTACTTTGCAGGCTGGCAAATCTCATGCAGAGTAAATGAAGGGTACAGCTTCTGGCAAACACCGCAGTTTCTGATATTGACAACTATAATAACACAGTGTCCCATTTTACATGTCACACACAAATTTTCCTTTAAAGCCAGACTGTTCTATTTACAACAGCCCACAATAACGTCTTTCCCAGCAAGGCTCCTGAATAGACATCTCTCTCCCTAAAAGATTACATTTCTACTCACTCAAGCTCACTGAGATGAGCTGTAACATCACAGCTCCAGCCTGGTGTGGCCCCGCTCCATGGAATTGCCCTGCTGAGCTCAGGATGGGAGGCCCACTCATCACCACAGAACCTGCAGTTTTCTGCTCTGCTGATGGGACGACAGAACAGGTGCGATGTTACAGGTGCTCTGTGCACACTGGTCACACTGAAGGCAGCAGGTAAGGAACTGCTGGAACTGCTGCACAGCCTGGCTAGGGCAGCCACGGCCTCACACAGGACAGCATGGTTAACAAGGCAGGTGGAGGCATTTGTGGCTGAGGAGAGACAAGGCAGAGAGGACGGCGCAGCCCATGGCCCTGACACTGCGCCCCGACACGTGGACCCCGATGGGTGCTGCAGAGCTGCCGTACTTACCTGCCTGCCCTTCACCACATGCTGGGGCACTGGCACCTTAAGTTCCAGGTCAGTGTAGTCCTGCGACCACGTGTAGTTCTCACGCACGGCACCGTTATAGCTGTCGGGGTTCCTCTGGAACTGCTCCTGTCCCCTGAGAGAGAACAAGAAGTGAAGCAGCAGCCCAGGCCACACCAGGGTAGGGAGGCAGGGCACCTCTAAGTCCTGGACAAGTCATGCCCCCTGCAGGCGAGTTCCCTGCATCCTCCTACGCAAGCATCCCTGAGATCTCAGGGATAACCAGGGCGAGCTGCCAAGAGGACCCCGCATGCAGAGCCAGCATGGATCAGGAGGTCCGCAACCTCAGTCCACACACACTATGGCCTGGTCCAGTGCCACCTCCTCGAACTTAGAACCAGGCCAGTCAACTAAGCAATGGGCCTTCTTAGTAAACTTCTGGGGCATGTGGGTACCTAGTCTCTCATAAACTGGCAGAGCCTGTCTTTAAAAAAAAGCAAACCATTCTGTAACATCTTCCTGTGCCAACAGACAGTAACCACACTGGAGGGGGTAAAGACCTAGTAATGTGGGTAACTGCTGGCCCACTGGGCTGTACAGCAGAAACCAACATGATACCATGTATCACTTGCACTCCAACAAAGAAAGCAAGACGACATGAGTACTCAGCAGCTCAGCGTCGGCACTGCTCCAACCTCAGCCCCTTTTCCTGGTAAACAGCACAGAGCTCAGGTAACACACTGAACTGTGGGTTTTAAGATGCAAGTGGTGTGTGTGAGAAGGCCCAAAACTCCATCAGTCATAGCCCGCGCACATGAACTCCAGCCCAGCACAGATGCAGATCAGCTGGCCAAGCAGCTGATACCAACAGTAAAATACGATGAAATAACTTGCTATAAAACTGAACAGTGCTAATGACAGAATGCACACTAGATTACGTCTACACTCACAAGTACATCATGGTGAGTTTTAGATCTGAATTAAAGACAGAAAGCTGGCTGTGGAGGAGGCCCCACCTATGAACATGGACATGGCAACAGCAGGGTAGTTCAGCCACCTTCTCCAGCCCTGGGGGTGTGCCTGCTGAGGAAGAGACACAAACCTGTGCATGTCAACATCTGTGCAGGTAACAGAAGAAAAGGGTCAGAAATGTACACCACTGGTCCTTCACCTCTGGTCAGGTGGCAATGAGGACACACTTTTTCTGGGTGGAGTTTTAGGACAAGAACATGTTTTCCTTCTGCAGGTGTGCCTTGCACACCCTGCATTGTGAGGCTGGGCCTCCATCACATCTCAGGTTCTCTGGCCTGATTACTGATGGCTGTTACAGGCCAGACTCCCAAAAGTCCTAAGTGAAGTCCTAACCTCCAGCACCCCAGAATTTATTTAGAGACAGGGTCTTCACAGAGGTGACCCAGTTGAAATCAGGACATTAGGGCTCTGCCCCAACATGACCATGTTCTTAAAAAGGGAGCTCTGGACGCAGGTGCAGGCAGAGGGATAAGGTGAGACACTAGGAGAAGGTAGCCACGTGGCCACAGCCACAGGCCAGGGAAGCCACAGCTCTGATCACCCCAGAGGCCGGAGGAGGTGAAGAAGGGAGCACAGCCCAGGGATGCGCAGCACTGGACGCATGCCTGCAGTGCCTTGAAGACGGGCTTCTGTGGGCCTCTGTGGCCAGTCTGTGGCACTTGGTGGTGGTATTTTGGGGCAGGGGAGAGACTCAGAATTCAGCACTTACTATCAGCAGCCGGGCTCTGACAAATTGGAACAGAAGCCAGACCCAAACTCCCCACTCAGGCAGACCTCTGTGGGGCAAAGGAGACAGGAGAGTCCCAGCCCAGAGAAGGGGCGCCAAAGCAAGCTCGAGGCGGAGACCGGTGCAAGCATGTGCATGGACTGAGGGGGCTTGCTGCGCCACTGCAAGAGGATACACAGCCTTTGTGTGCAGCAGGAGCTCCACAGCCTAGGAAGAAACACACGTGGGTAAGAGGAGGCAGCCAGGGTAGCAAAATGAGTAGCACTCTTTCTTTTTTGTACCTTCAGGTATTATCCAAATTCCCCAAATGTGCAGACACATCATCACCAAAAGAAAGCAGCTATCTTTAAGATCGTGTCTACAGGAGACAGCAATCCCCGTAGCCCCACCCAGGCTGCCTTCGCCCTGACCCCCAAAACAAGGCCAGGAGACAGCACAGCAGTCAGGGTGGCTCCCGTGCACCATGGCACCCACTCCACTTTCAAGCTCCCACCCAGCAGACGAACTAAGTGTGCAGAGAACTCCTGGAAGAGCACTGAGGCAGGGACACGGTGGGGGTGGAGGCCAGTGTGTGACACCCAAAGCATGCAACACCACCCAGTGAGGGCCAGCACAGCCTAGCACCGGCCCACCAGCAGGAGCCCAAGCGGGGACAGCTACTTCCCATGTCTTGCCAATGGGTTTCAGCCCCAGGCAAGTTCACTATGGATTCAGTGTGACCAAAAAAATGACAGTAGAACGTTCTTGGGGTGAAAGGGTTATAACCCAACTGTATTTCCATGGTGGCAGGTCAATCACTAAAATCTTGTCCACTCAGAGCGACTCTGCATGTAGCAAGCCGGTCTCTGCCTCTGGGCCTCTCTGCCCGCAGAGCTGTCCTCTGGGCCTCTGTCCTCAGCACTGCCACCTCTCCAGCCTTCACTCTGCTCTCCTGCAGACTTGCAGCTGTGCCACCATGTCACCCAGAGCACAGGGCAGTTATATAGAATCAATAACGATGTATTGCCACACCTGTGTAGTGAGCTTGCCAAACAGGGCCAGGTGAGAACCCTGGCCACAGGAACCTTCTTTTTATCCACACTGCATCATGGTGACCCTTACCCACCGGCATTCATGTGGCCCCTCACCCAGAACAGGCCCCTATACCAGGAGCCCCCTTGAAGGCTGGGGCCTGATGGGCTGCCCCCAAAAGGGGCTGTACTGCATGGGGCTCACAGTGGGCCTGACTGCTCACCGCCAGGAGGCTTGCTCCTAGCACAGCACAGCACCATGCAGGGGGCTTGTTTTAATGCTCTGAATCCACAACCTCTTTAAATGAAGTTAGCTATTTCCAGCTGACAGCATGTAAAAACAAGCCCATCACATGCAGGTGCTTGGCCGCCAGCCTCCTTCCATCTTGCCATCCCAGCTGCTTCATAGGGCGGGGTGGGGAAGGGCCAGGGGCAGGGGTGAGTTAGCAGGCACGCAGAGGCCAGGCCTCCCTCAGTGCCCACGTCTGCCCAGCCACCAGTGACTATAGGGTACTGACTGAGTGAAGAATGACAGGGAAGCCAGCACAGCCTGCATGGAACCAGACGGCTCCCTCCTTTCCCAGTCTGGACTGGCCAGTGACAATCACGAGAAGTGGTGGGTAAAGATGTCTGTGGATAAAATGAGAGTTCCTGGGGCCAGGATTCTCACCTGGCTCTGGTTGACTAGCTCACTGCACACCTGTGGGCAATACATGGCTGTTGACTCTATAAAAAGAGCTCAGCCCAGTGCTCTGGGCGTGACACGGTGGCAGGACTGCAAGGCTGCAGGAGAGCAGAGCAGAGGCTGGAGTGGTTGCAGTGCCGAGGACAGAGGCCCAGAGGACAGCTGCACGGGATGACTGTGCAGAGAGGCCCAGAGGATGGCTGTGTGGGACGACTGTGCAGAGAGGCCCAGAGGATGGCTGTGTGGACAGAGGGGCCCAGAAGCAGAGACTGGCTTGTTGCATGCAGACTCACTCTGAGTGAACAGGTATAACCCTTTCACCCCAAGAACGTTTTGCTGTCAATTTCTTTGGTCACACTGAATCCACAGCGAACTTGCCCGGGGTTGAAACCCATTGGCAAGACAGTGTCACAGCCCCAACTTAAAGGCTGTATGCAGGAGTCAGCACACGCTCTAGAATGGGCCTTAAGTCAGGGGCTTTAGTGCCCCTCAGGCCCCTTCCAGGCTTGGCAGTGACTCACCTCACCAGACCCTTGCCAGATCTGAGCTGCTCTGGGTCAGACATCCTGCCCCCAAACCCACACAGGCCCCACAGGACTTATGGCCGCCACCCCAACCAGCCTCAGCAGTGCCAAGGTGGGGAGGCTCTGGCCACACATTCTGTGGACTCCTGGCCCCCAGTGGGAGGGACTAGGGCTTGTGCGTGAGCATGTGTGCGTGCCCATGTGTGCATGCTGCAAGGGTATACATGTGCACATGTGGTGAGCATGTGGGGTGTGCACACATGTGGCTCTCCCTGCCTCAGGCTGGCTCCCTCTTACCTATCTCCTCTCATCTTACCAGCCCCATATCTGCAACTAGACTGCAGCCATGGCCAGTGGAGATTTGGAGCTTTGTCTTTGGGGTATGTGTGTCCCCAGGCCACATGACTGCCCAAGGCCCACTCCCTGCCCCGTGAGCCAGTGCCCAAGCACACTGCAGCACACCTCACCCACGGTTTATAAAGACCTGCCAATGCTCCTGCCTCTGGGAGAAGGCCTGCCTGCCTGTCCCCTCCTGTAGGCTGCCGCTTCCAAGGCCCCAGGCAGGGGGGCAACACCACCAGGTCCTACACACTGGCTTGGCAGTCAGGCACCTCCTGACACTCAGTGAGAAGCCCTGTTTCCAAGGCATGCAAGGCCCACCACATGCCACAGGGCACCAACCAAGCAACTGGTGTACAATTGCCAAGAGTGGTTGAAAGCAGGAAACAAGCAAACATGTGAAGGCCAAAACAGGGCAAGTCCAGTCCCCTCACACTTGGGGTCGCCGTCCCCCATGCACTCTGGAGCTCAGTCATTGTCCCCTCATTGCATGCATGCCCCACCAGAAAGTCCAGCTACAGACACAAGACTCAAAGGCAATTGTCACGGATGAGGGGAGACTGTTGGGCCTCTGGGATATCTAGGGACACATGCTGTGTGCCCCACCTTTTACCCTAGTTTCTCTAAATCTGGTGTCAGCAGCTTTACTACAGCTGGTATCCCAATTTATCACCTATTGCCAACTGGCATCCCTGCCCACCAGGAACCAGGCCCCAGGAAAGCAGTGGCCATGGTCAGCCTGTGTCAGCAGCTTTCCCCTCCTCTGCCAATCCCGCCTGGAGCGAGGATGGCACGCAAGACCAGGAGGGTACTATGAAA